CTCTTTAGAAGGCCAGATCCTGAAGAGGAAACTCAAAGACTTTGGCCACCTAATGAGAAGGAAGGACATGACTTTGCGACTAAAAACAACAACCTATAAAACAATGAATCCGAGACAAAATGGAACGGAATTCACACCTATCTGCATTTCAGTGCATCCCACTGCAGACCCACCGCTCGTCCCTCACATGCAGCAAAATTTAACCAACCAAGGTCTGCGGCCACAAACTGGGAAAAAAGTGGTGCTTTGGTCTCTGTCTGGCCTAATCCCTCGGCGGTATCTACCTTGCAGGGATGTTGTGAGATGAAGGGAAAAGGCAATGCCCTAGGATACGAGTATGCTGTCTTGGATCGGAAAACCCAAGATCCATGGATATTCTAAGGTCTAATTAGGAGACTTTGCCCATCCAATGATTAGCAAGGCTTTACCAAGGAAGGAAGGGAAGGGAAGGGAAGGAAGAAAGGGAAGGAAGGAACAGGAAGAAGGGAGGGGGGAAGGGAGGAGAGAGAAAAAGCAAGAGAGAAGAAAGGACAGAGAAGGAAGGAGGGAGGGAGGACAGAAAGAGAGAAGGAAGGAGGGAGGAGAGAAGGGAGGAAAGAAAATGCTCTCTATCTTCCTCTGCTTAATCCTACTGTTGAGAGCTGTTGAAAAATTATCTCTGTTTTATTAATTTTTTTAAAAAGAATGCGATTGTGGCGTTCAAGGCTGCTGGTGGTTTTTCTGCGGTGACTAGAAGGGACATTCCAGAGGGGTTTGACGTTAAAAGGACTTTGCAAAGCCTCGAAAATCTTGTGTTGTTGTTGTTGTTTTTACCTTGAGGGTCTCATTACGGCTGCTCCAAAGGGACCTTCAGCTGGCATTGGAAAAACTGTCCAAGTTAGCTTGACCGATTGGCTTTTTTTTTTCTTTTAGATCAAGGTTTTTCTACTTTAGAAACTTTTGAAATGTGTGGGCTTCCAATTCCCAGAAGTCTGGAAATCGAAGTCCAACGCCTCTCAAAAAGTTGTTACGGTTGGGATTGCAACACAAATCACTGAAAATGTTTTAACTCTTGGTGCTTCTCTCGCTAGAGAAAGGAAATAGACGGCAGGGGTGCACTTTAAAAGACCTGACTAGAAAGTGACCAACATCTAGAGCCCTGAGGGCAAACCTGTGCCGTATGTGCCAGAGGTGATACGCAGAGCCATCTCTGTGGGCACGCAAGCCCTTGCCAGCTGCTCTTCTGATTTCCGGCACAGACATGCCCAGCTGGTCTTCACGGGCGCTGGAGCACCAGAAAACGGAACCAAAACCAGCCAAAAACCAGGCTTTTTCCTGGGCTGATTTAAGGGTCATTTTCAGGCTGTTTTGGGGCCATTTTTCAGGCCAGAAAGAGCCTGAAATACAGCCTGAATATGGCTCAAAAAACAGCCAGAAAAAAACGGCCTGAAAATGGCTGGAAAAGCAACCTGAAAACAACCAGAAAAACAGCCTGAAAAATGGCCTGAAAGACATCTTTAAAACAGCCCAAAAAACAGCCTGAAAATGACCTGAAAAACAGCCTGAAAACAGCGTGGAAAATGGTCCCCAAACAGCCCGAAATATGGCCTGAAAACAGCCTAGAAAACAGCCTGAAACAACTGGAAAAACAGTCTGAAACAGCCCAAAAAATGGTCCCAAAACAGACTGCGATATAGCCTGAAAACGACTGGAAAAACAGCCTGAAAACAGCTAAAATACAGCCTGAAAACAATGAGAAAAACAGCCTGAAACAGCCCAAAAATGGTCCCAAAACGGACTGAAATATGGCCTGAAAATGACTGGAAAAACAGCCTTATACAGCCTGAAAAATGGTCCCAAAATGCAGCCTGAAAACAACCGGAAAAACAGCCTGAAACAGCCCAAAACGGACTGAAATACGGCCTGAAAATGACCTGAAAAATGGTCCCAAAATGGCCTGAAATACAGCCTGAAAACGGCCCAAAAACAGCCAGAAAACAGGCATGCTTGCGCCGGCCAGTTGGTCTTCGGGGTTTCTGGCGCTGTTGTGTGCAAACATGCGCACAAGTCCCGGTTTGGACACTCGGTGCCGAAAAGATCGTCCATCACTGATCAAGAGCCACAACTATGCAAAAAAAACCCAAGGATAGGCTGTTCCCGGCTTTAATCAATCTCTCTGGCAAGGCCCTCACGATTTTTATAAGTTGGTTGGCAGCGGTTGGGTTCACCGGTTCATAAAAGCATGTCTGAATTGGGCCTATTGTTGGGTGTCCTTGGATGGGGTCCAGCTGAAGGAATTTAGGGCTGAGTCCTGAACATGGTGGATACAGACCAAGCTTTTGTGGTTTTGTCGTACAATCAAGGGGGCTCCTGCAAATTCCAGAACGGACAACGGATTTTTTTTGTGGTCGTTGCTTTCTCCTTGAAGAGTTCACGAGCCTTACGAACCCATTTCCTGCCTTTTAACACAATGAAGTGTTTTTCAATGAAGTGATGTGGTCTGGGAACTTCCATTTCCTCGTTTCTTTGGCCTCCAGATTCTTTACAATAGCAGAGACGGAAGGGACCTTGGAGGTCTTCTAGTCCAACCCCCTGCCTAGGCAGGAGACCTTATACCATTTCAGACAAATGGCTACCCAACATCTTAAAGACTTCCAGTGTTGGAGCATTCACAACTTTTGGAGGCAAATTCTGTTCCACTGATTAATTGTCCTCACTGTCAGGAAATTTCTCCTTAGTTCTAAGTTGCTTCTCTCCTTGATTAGAATATCGAATCACAGAGCTGGAAGGGATCTTGAAGGCCTTCTAGTCCAACCCCCTGCTTAGGCAGGAAACTGTATACCACTTCAGACAAATGGNGAAACTTTTAGCCTGGAAGGGCTGACAGAGCCAAGAGAAGCTTGCGTGTATCTGATTAAGACGGACATGCTACGCCTTGCAAGGGCCCAGTTTGTACAACACGGACGCGGCAATTTTAGGCAAACGGTTTTCACCGTTCATTCTCTCCTGTCTTGGGTGATTTCTGGCCTGAAATTGTTCAGGTGGAACAAAATCTCTGCCTTTTCTACAAGGGTTCATGCAAAACTGACCAGCCTACGCCAACCAGTATGCTCCTGTGCTTTGCCACTCTTGGCACCCCGTCAGGAGGGCAGCGATGCCACCTGGAGTGCCTGCCAGGAACCGAAGCAACCTTGCAATTGGGATGACAACCCCCTTCCTGCAGCCTTGGAAGCGTGAACAGCCGCTCTCTCGGTTAACAGAGCGCGGCAAAACGGGAGCGACCGAAAGAGAAACGTTTCGGGTTTCAAACTGGATTCGGAGAGCGGGTCAGGCCAGGCCAAGCGGGGCCCGAGGCTCTTTTAGGGCGAAGAATTATTTCGATTTATATTGAAACTGCGGCCACGCCCCCGGGATCCCGCTTTGCAATTTGGCAACTGCAAAATCTGCCCGTCGGTCAAGTTCGGGCATGCCAACGGGGGCAGGGCCCAAATTAAGTAAAAAAATGAAGTAAAATAGGGGGGGGGGGTTTACAATACAAGCAGGGGGAGCAAATGTGCCAAGACAACTCCCCCCCGACTCCCAGCACGAGAAAGGCTGCTTGCAGTGAAAGCTACATCGAGGAGGTGCTCCGAAGCATCTTTAGGGGAGAGTCGGGATGACGCATGGCTTCAGTTGGCTTTTCGGCGTGAGGAAGGTCTTGGCGGGGTGATCCCGGAGATCCAGCAAGGTGGAAGGTCTCCCTTGGGACTGAGTCACTGCTGCTGCTGCTGCTGCTTCTCTTATCAGAGTCCAACCAGGGGGGGGCAAGAAGGGGAGGGAAGGGGGGAAATCAGATTTTCCCAACTTGGTTTTTCACTCTATAAGAGCACATCGGTTTCGGCGATGGAGCTGCGGGTCACGAATCGATCCTTCCATAGGAAGAAAACACTGGAGTGAGAGAGAGGGAAAAGAACGTCATTATTGAAAACAGGGTGTTCCCCCCCGCCTCCCAAAATATAGCAAGTCCTTAACTTACAACATTTCGTTTAGGGATTTTTTGAAGTTACGACAGCCCTGGAAAAAGTGGTTCATCACTGTTTCTCACACTTAAAACATCCCCCAGGTTCACGTCATCAAAATTCAGACAGAATAGTCACAAGAGTTGGAAGGGACCTTGGAGGTCTTCTAGTCCAACCCCCTGCCTAGGAAGGAAACCCTACAGCACTTCAGACAAATGCTTGCCCAATCTCTTCTTAAAAACTTCCAGATGCTCGGCAACTGACTGATAGTTACGACGGCTTTGCGGCCTCCTGACGAGCGAAGCTGATGGGACAGGCAGGTTCGCTTCACAACAGGGTGACTTCAGTTAATGACTGCAGGGGTTTGTTCAACAATGGTGGCAAGGAAGGTCGTAAAGGGGCAAAACTCACTTAACCACTGTCTCGCTTGGCCACAGAAACTTTGGGCTCGATTGTGGTTGTTATGTCGGGGACTCTCTGCAGGGTGGGAAGCTTTGCTGGGTACCAATTAGCATTGCCAAGCACTGATTGGTGGCTCCTCCACCAATCAGCCATTGCGACCTCCCCATCAGAGATCAAAGCAAAATGACTCCTGCCCTGACTTCTGAGTTGGTGACGTCTATGCTTTCCTATTTAACTGTCAGGATGAATCAGTCTAGGGCAGGGGTCGGCAACCTTAAACACTCAAAGAGCCACAAAGGCCCTAAATGGAAGCCCCCCGTTCAGTTCTGAAGTCCGGTTGCCCCATCATAGAGTCTCCTAGCACGGCATCCCTTTTTCCTCTACCTGTCCTAACCAAAAGCCCTATCAACTGTGGAGCCGGCCAGCAACAGGGAGCCGCAACAGAGGGATGAAAGAACCACATGCGGCTCCGGAGCCACACAGGTTGCTGACCCCTGGTCTAGGGGATTTGAAAAAAAGGGGATTCGCCTTAGCTGGGTGCCTTGTTCTCAGTCCCCGTGCCAGTTGTCTGCTGAAGAGACCCACCCCGCTCTGGATTGAGGTTACTCCCAGAAACCGGTTCCTATGCCTCTGATACTCACTCCTCTCTCTCAGGCCTTGCCCAAAACTCTGATAGACGTGAAACAGTGCCCAGAACAGGACGCTTTTGATCATCACTGAAATGCAAGAGCAGGTGATGATGGCGGCTTCCAAGGCGTAAGAGTTCCCTTTGCCCCATTCGGTTATCACCTGGAGGGGGAAAAATGGATAATTACATTTGTACCTATAAAAGCCAAGAAATTAAAAGAGGCTTGAACCTAGGGAGGAAAGCTATGGCAAATCTAGACAGAAGACTAGAAAGCAGAGGCATCACCCTGCCAACAAAAGTGCATCTAGTAAAGGCTCTGGTTTCCCCAGTTGCAATGGATGGCTGTGAAGGTTGGACCATAAGGAAGGCTGA